ATGGGGAGGTTTAGTGAAAGCTGGGAGTACAGTGGTCAGACACAGAACAAAGAACACTTGTGTCTTAGCTCATGCTGAAGGAGAACAGGGGCTTGTTGCTGCATAACCGACCCCTGCACCCCCAACCTGATCAGACACTTCAAATGAGTGTCCTTGGGATCCCTGAGCTGAGCACAGAATCCATAAATGTCGGCTGCCACCATTGCTCTATCGTATACTAAGTTTAAAGGTCAATTCTAATTTTCGTTGGGATTTCTTAACTGATCACAGCCTTCTGTCTGAAGAAGTATGACTGCACTTGCTACCCAGAGTAGGAGAGGGTTATGGGACCACCCATTAGTTTGCCAGTCCCCGCCTTGGAGTCCATAGCAGTGTGCGATTGTCCTGAACCACAATTTGGGGAGCATGTACTGGGGCCCTGGATTTGGGCTGACCTGGCAAGCCTGTGCAGACAGATTTCCACGGCTGAGAGAAGACAGGAGCCAAGCCCCCAGGGCCTTCCCACACTCGGGTTCCCTGGCACTGGGTCCTGCCTGGCCCCTACCTCACAGCTCACACTGGTACAGCCAGTTTGACCCCTCTTCTTCTGGGATTCCTGTGTGTAGCCTCACGAGATGCCCCTCCACCACCTCCTTTGGCTCAGCCAAGCAGCCACAAGTGCTCAGCTCTGCCTGATAGCAAGGCCCGGGCCAGCTCGGCTTCCAGTCAGAGCCCACACCTTCCCTGATCAACACCCGCCAGCACGCCTTACCTTTCTACAGGTGCCTTTAAGGAATTGCTAAACGTTCTGTACCAGGGGCCCAAGTGCACACAATGGGCCAACACTGTCAGCAGGCAGTTTCCTGGGCCACTGAAGACCTCTTTGTACCTCAGTTTCCTCATCTGTAAAATGAGGGGGCCCCAGGTTAAGGAACCTTATCTGGGAAGGACTTCCCGGAAGGACTTACTTCTTCTTGATCCTTCTATTCTGGCTGCTGTTCTTACCATGTATGAAACTACGCAAATGCCCCCAAATTTCTTTACAAATAATGACTGTTAATACAGGTTGAACACTTACTATGTGCTAGATACTGTTGCAAATGCATTATAGGGATTAATACATTTACTCCTCACAGCAACCCTGGAGGTTAGGATAATTAGAATCACTCCCATTTTACAGATGAGGAAACTGAGGTACAAAGAGGTTAAGGAACTTTCCCGAAGTTTCATTGCAGAGAGAAGGTGATACCCTCCCTACCCAGCAGCTGGTTTTCTAGTTCAATCTACAGTCTTCCTCAAGGCTGAGCCAATGCTTGGACACTCTGACCCTGATGCAGGCAGGCATATAATGAAATGAAACCAAACAACCAAAGATGAGCTACCCCAGACAAGGGGCCATCAGTAACTTCCAGAGACTCCAAGCCTTGCTGCAGCCTTTTTCCACAGACATATCTTTTCTGCTGCCTCTGCCAAACCCATTCATCCTTCTGGCCTAGATGATGCTTCCGCCACGCAGCCTTCTTGACATCCAAGAGTAGTTTGGATGCCCTCTCCTGCCACCACTCTTTGTGAAGTTCTAGCCCCCAAAGGTTTGCCATCCCAGCCCTTAGCACTCTGTACCACAATTGTCAATCTACCTCGCTGCCTCCCTTCCAAACTAGAAGTTCCCAAGTGGGCAGGGATTACTAAAGTCTTACTTTGTTTTAAATGGTTTTTTTTTTAAAAAAACAATTCTTATATATTTTTTGAAGTATAACATATACTCACTAGAGTGCATAAATCGTAAGTGTAGAGCTCAATGAATGTTTATGTACACAACCATGTACTCAGATCAAGATATAAAAAACATAGGTAGTGCTCAGAAGTTCCCTTGGTCTCCTCCCAGGTATTAACCCCACCCTAGAAGTAACTGCTGTTCTGACTACGGTCACTATAGTTCTGCCTTTTCTGAAACTTCAGATAAATGGAATGACATAGTAATACTTTTCTGTGTCTGGCTTCTTGTGCTACCCATTATGTCTGTGAAATTTATTCATTTTGCTACATGTTTCAATGGTTTGTCCTTTGTATTGTTGTGCAGTATTCCATTGAATGAATATATCAAATTTCTGTATCCACTGTACTGTTGATGAACGTGCCAGCTAGGATACAGAACATATGGAACTCTCATTCTTTGTTGTTTGGAGTATAAGTTGCTATTACCACTAAGGAAAACTCTTCTTGTCTATCATTGATAACAATGATATATATTGATATCTGTATATTGACATATATATTCTCTATCATTGTCATATATATCTCATTGATTGAGCGCTTAGTATGTGCCAAGCACTGTACTAAGTCTAAATTACCTCACTTAATCCTCACAATCACCCTAAAAATAGATAGTTGCCATCTTTGAAATAGGACCATCGTAGTAGCAACATGATAGGATTATCGTGAAGCTGCACTAATACTCTGAAGGACTTAGCCCAAAGCTGCCATTTTGGAAACACTGTTTATGGTACCTCTTACTGTTATTACTAAAGGCCACAGGGCTGGGTGTTCAGGAACCTGGGTTCCACGCCTCCCTAAGACAACCTGAGTGAGTCTCATCTCAGCATCCTTGACCTCAGAGCCCCTGAAAGGTCGCATCTGCTAGCAGGGACCTCTGGGATGACACAAGGCATACTCTTCAATAAGGCCCAGGCTCTCACTTCAGGAAGACTGTTATGTTGGTGGGCGGGGGACAAGACCGAGACTGTGCATCACAGAAGGTCTTGGGAGTGTTTGGGAGCCCTCTACTACATGCTTCTTCTGCAAGTTTAGTAGAGAAGGCACTTCCAAGTGACACTTATTCCATATCTGTCTCACTAGCCTGTAAGGTCCACAAGGGCTTGGTCTGTTTACGTTTTTTAAGGATTCACTCACAAATACGAACAAGTGCCTCCTTTCCCCCAGGCACTATGCCAAGAGCTGGGGGATACAGCAGTGACCAAGACAGACAAGGTAGGGAAACGGACACCGAACAAGGAAATGAAGGAGCAAGAGTCTTCTTGTGGCAAGTTCTGTGGAGGAAACACAGCAGGGCCATGAGGTGGAGACAAAGTCCTGGGGAGTAGGGTGCTCCAGATTAAGTGGTCACTGAAGACCTTGAAGTTCTAGGGAAGGAAGAGCAGCCCAAGGGGGTCCTCGCAGGGCACAAGCTCCAAGACCCTGAGGTGAGAAAGGACAGAGACAGTGGTGACGAGCTGAGAGTGGAGGGGGTGGAGGGTAGATCTGAGAGGATTTAAAGGCCAGTTCCAGTTCCTGTGGAGCCCTGTACGCCGGGACAGGGAGTGCAAATTTGACCCTGAGTCTGACGTGAGTCACTCTGAAGGCTTTCAGCTAGAGGGGGGTGCCTGGAATCCCAAGGTCCAAACCGGCTCAGTCTTCTGATGCCCCGGAAGAGTTTGTGGGGGAGGGGCACACAGGAAAGGGGGTGGTCTGTTCCTTGATGAATGAATGCACGCTTGGATGGATGGGCGGACGCACGTCCAGAATCAACCACCGTTCCGCCGGCGCTCCAGACCCAGGCGGCTGCCAGTGGCACTGGCTGTAGGCCAGCGACCAGGCGCTGTGACCTTGGGCACATCCCCGCCCCAACTCACAGCCCGGAACCCTGCGTCTCAGGGGCGGGGAGGACGTGCAAGGAGGGACAGGGCGCGCGCGCGGCAGACCGACGGACGGCAGGTCCTGCCGCTCGCTCCTGCGCGACCCCTGCCAGACCCCGGCCCCGGCCCGAACCTTCGCCGCCTGCCGTGTTTACATTCCACCCGCGCGGGCCACGCGGCCTTTTACCGCTCCAGCGCCGCTCGGCTCCGCCCACAGAGCCCTCGGCCCGCCCCTCCGCTGCGCTCGCGCCAGACCTCCCCCGCGTCCTGCCCGCCCGGCGCGGCCCCGCCCTCCACCGCGCGCGCCAGCCGGCCTCCCGCGTCCCGCTCCGCGCGGCGCCGCAGCTCGCGCCGCGCAGGCCCCGCCACGGCCCCGGCCCCGCCCCTCCAGCGCGCAGGCCCTGTCACTTAGCCCCGCCCCGCGCAGGCCCCGCCCCGCGCAGGCCCCACCCCCCCGGCGGTCTCCAGCGCCTCGGCTGGCCGGCGCGGCGGCGGGGCGGTCCTGAAGGCTGTGGCTGGGCGGGCCCCGGCCCAAGGGCTGCAGCTGAGGGGTTCGGAGCCGGCCGGGGCGGGGCGGAGGGTGGCGGGAGGGTGCGAGGGCGGGCCGGGGGCCGGTTCCGCGCGCAGGGATTTTTAAATGTCCCGCTCTTAGCCGGGCGCAGGAGCAGCCGGCTCGGCCGCCAGCGCGGTGTAGGGGGCAGGCGCGGATCCCGCCACCGCCGCGCGCTCGGCCCGCCGCTGCCTCCCGCCTCCCGCCTCCCGGCTTCCCGCTCGTCTCTGCCTCCTGCCTCCTGCCTCCTGCCTCCTGCCTCCTGCCTCCGGCCTCGGCTCGTGCCGCCTGCCTGCCGCGGAGACGGCTTCGGGTAAGGGCCCTGTCGCGAGCTGCGGGACGGCGCGGCGGCAAGGACTCCCACAGCGCCCGGGTCGGGTCGGGCCGGGCCGGGCCGGGGTGGGGGTGGGGCGAGGCCGGGTCGCCGGGTCCCTGAGGCGTCAGCGCGGGGTGCCCCGGTAGGGTGGCTCAGAGACGGACGGGGGTGGGAGGGAAGTGTTGAGGGGGAGACTGAGGCAGCCCGGGCCGCAAGGGAGGAGATGGGCCGGCGGGGATTTCGGGGGCCGTGTGGGCCCCCCCAACCCCGGGTTCGGACCCGGCATCGCAGACTGTTGGCGGCGCCGCGGGTGACAGGCCACCCGGGCCCATCGGCCATTTTCCTGACCGGCCCGGGAGGCTCCCGCCGCCGCCGCTGCAGCCGCCGCCGCCCGCGCGGGAGGGGGAGGGGTGTCCGGGGCAGGCTGGCCGCCCATGCCCCCCCCGCCCCGCCGCCGGTCGTCTTCACCCCACTGCCCGGTTTGTGTCCCTAAGGCCTGAAACTTGATCCCACACCCCAAGCCATGCCGAGGGAGAGGAGGGAGAGGTGAGTGGCCCTGTCGCTGTGGGGACGGGAAGGGTATTCAGTGGTGGGGGAGGGGTGAACCCAGATTTGGGGAGAACTCACCCTGACCTCTGTGCCACCCTGCCTTTGCAGGGATGCAAAGGAACGGGACACCATGAAGGAGGAAAGTGGCACAGATGTCTCTGTTCGCTCCAGGAAAAGGAAGGCAAATGTGGCTGTTGTGAGTACAAAGGAGACAGGTGGGGGAGGAGACCCCCCCAGATCTTACCTGGGAACCAGACTGGGCTCTGCCACATGTTTATTGATAGGGGGTTAATGGGAGTGCATTTGGCAGAAATGGTGCCCACAACCTAACACCACCTTTTTCTTTCTCTCTCTCTGTTTTTGTCTTTGGACTATTTGGTGTGTTTCCTTGGCGGGTGGGGGCTGCTTTATATTAGTTTTTGCAGGATCCAGATGAAGAAATTGCAACACTTGACAGGACTGTGAGAAGCCAGTGCAGCAGTCAGGTGGGTACACTTGCTGATTGGGCCTAGGTGGAGGGCCTCCTGCTCTTTGTGGGTTAGATTGAGTCTCTATCCCCCTTGCCTCCTGCTGAAGGCTTTTTCTCTACCTATGGCCACAGTACATATGGCTGAGCTCAGTGCTCATCAGCGGCTCTGACCTCTGCCAGCCTTGGGACTCCAGGAAGGTCTTGGGTTCCTCGCCAGCACCTTTGAGATTACAAATATGCGCTGATGTCTGGAAGAACCAGAATGGACATCAAATAACTCGGTCCTCTCCTTTTGCCCTTGAGGAAACCCAGACTCAGAGGAAGAAAGTAACCCAGAGTCCTGTGCAAGCCAGGGGTGGAGTCCATCCTAGAGCCCTGTCTCTAGGCTGGTGAACTGGGGAGAGGGCTCCTGACACTCTGGGTAGCTGTGATGATGGGAGTTTGTGTGTGTTCATAAGCAACCATGAATTCTCCCCATCCACACTTCTATTTTTCCATCATGTCATGGTGCTTAAGGACCTCCCACCCCCTTTAGGTCAGGTTTCTAACTTTTCCCCCCTCTGGGGGTTCTCAGCCCATCCAGCAATTACCTACAGTGACTACTGCTGTCTGGGGCTTGACCTGGCCTCAGCCGGAGTATTTGTAGAATATTCTGTGTGATGATATATGTGTCTCAACACAGTTTTTTTAATTGACGAGTCCATTTCTTTTGTCTCTTTGGAATAGTTACCACCAAATTTCCTGCATGCTCATGATATCATTACAACATCAGAAGTTCCTAGCAGAAAAAGCTTGTGTTATCTCTCTACCTCCAGAAATGGCTGGAAACTGTAGTTATGGCTCCAGTAGGGGAAGCAGCCTATCTCCAAACTAGCGTGTCAGGTCTTCTGACCCTATCACAGAGAAAACCTGAGCGGGAATAGTATTTGAGCTGAGGGCAGTGGTCCCAACTAGGTTAGCAATGGGCAGCACATCACTTTGTTGGGCAGTGAGCAACAGCCATAGCAATTGGTTCTGGAAGAGTGAAGGGCTTTAAAGCAGTAGGTTTGTAGTAACAGTTGTCACTGTACATAAGACCCTAGTAATTAGCATTTCTGGGGAGGTCCATTGAATATTGAACAAGGGGGTTGATAATTTCCTTCTCGTTAGATGAAGAAATACTTTAGGGAAGGAAATAAGAATTCTTTCTTTTCTTTTCCTCTTCTTTAAAAAACAAGAAACAAACTTTAAGTAGGGTGATTTTTGTGGGGCACAATAAAATGGATCTCTACTTTGTGAAACTCAAGATTGTTTATTTTGCCAACTGTTTTTGAATTGAAATTTCCAAGTGAGAAAGAAATAAAGGCATCCATATTGACTTGTTAGAGTTTTAGAGTAGTTTCTGTTCTCCAGGAGGATTGGAGCAGTGCTAGGGTGACTAAAATGGGGCTGTGGTCCTATCCCTAAACTGTGGACAGTTGATCACTCTGGTATATGAATAAGCATATAATTTCCAACTAGAAGGAATTTTCATAGTGGTTCAGAGATTAATGACAACAGGTTTCTGCACATTTTTTAGAGCAGATAGCTTGAAAATTGTCCATCTATTTATGGAGGATTCGTTGTCTTGTTATTTCTCTGTGTAGATTCCTGAAGCTAAAATTTTGGGGTAACACAATCTTTTTGCCTATTAATTACACAGAATTTTTCTCAGGAGTTATAGTTCAGCCCAGTACATTAGCCTTGAGCTACTTGTGGGCATTATCCTAACTCCTTATAACTGCTTCATCAGGACCACAGAGAACCTTTGATTCTTACCTTAGGCCTTTCTTAAGGACAAGACTATGCTTTTATCTAAAATCCATTCAACATAATCTGTTTTGTTGTTTAACTTTTTGCATGAGGCCCACCTTTTTTATTGAAGTGAATCCTGGGCCTTCTATTAGTTACTTCTCAGCACCTGATTTTGCATAGGTAGTTCTATTGTTAATTCATAAGGAGTCAGGGGTGGTTAGAAATAGTCAAAATTGGTCTCTTGCTCTTATCCCTTTCCTTCCTAAAGTCAGGTGGATCTGGCCTCCTTTAAAACCCAGTATCTGCTCAAGAGAAAGGGCATAGACTTCATATTGTGCTTCACCCACTGGGTCCTAAAACTTTCCAAACCACATGTCTGCTTGTGAGTCGTCCGCTTTGTCTGTGAACTGCGGGTTGGAAACTGCTGCCATTTTCTCCCCAAAGGCTGCTCTCAGCTCTCTTCAGCCATCTGGCTGCGGAGGGTGGCACCCAGCTTCTGCCTTCACAGATAGAATTCATTCCTGAATGAAGAAACAACTTGAAGCAGTTATGTGACCCTTTTTGCGTCAAGGAAATGCTACCAGCACATGATACTAGAGCTGGAAGGGGAGGTTGCCCTTCTGGACAGCTGTTGGCAGGAGTTGTCATGGTTAATTTGCATGCCCAATTCTTCGCACCCTGGGTAGAGAAGAGCTTTATCCTGCTTTGCTCTTCTCAGTACACTAACAGTGCTCTGGCTGCCTCTGAAAGTGGCCGGTGTGCCCTGAGAGCCATTCTCCGGGCAGCACCTGGAGCCCAAGTCCCCACGCTCATTTCTAGTCGTCCGCTTGTCCCTTTTCTTCTCTAGTCAACCTTAATGAGCTGTCTGCCTTAAAAAAAAGTGCCAAGAATCTCAGACTTCGCAGGGCTTCCATGCTGGTGGGATTGTTACCTGCCACATGGTCAACAAAATCACTCTTAAAATTCAAAAAAATCCATCATAGGCTTCTTTTCAGAGTAGGACGATGAACAGAGCAGCTTGAAAAAGAAAATTTTCTAAATGGCAAAATGACCTTAGTAGTTTCCAAATATTGAAAATTGAATAAAATTAAGTATCTGGAATCTTTAAAAGAAAAGCATATTTGGGCTTGGGTTTTTAATGATATTTAATGATATTTGGGCTTGGGTTTTTAAATCACTTATCAGTTATTTGAGTCATTCTGTGCAAGACTTTGGGGACAGGATTCAAAGGTCTTCAGGGGTATCTGGCTTCTATCTCCACAGACTTCTTAGTATATCCTGTGACCATTCCTGGATTTGGTTTTAACTAGGCAGATATTCTTTTTGTTTTGTTTTGAGTTAAGGAAAACAAAAGGTCCCAATTATGTAATGTATGAGGCTCGTCTTGCAACCAAAGGATGTCACATTTGATGGGTTTTTGTTTTAAGATGGGGAAACTTTAAATATAGATGGTAATCAATTTACATTTTGATCTTTTACACTTGTGAATGTGGAGTGCCCATGTAAATACTTTTATTGGAAATCCTTTCACTTTTAAGAAATTTTAGATTAGTTGTACTTGTTAAAAAAACAAATCTTTCAGTTGTGACCAAGTAATCCCACAGCATACCTTAGACTAAGTTATGCCCAGTATCTTACTGAGCTGCAAATGGGTTTGATATCGTTGGTGCTGTTGTCGTTTTTTGTAATATAAGAGTGCTTTGCCTTTTGTCTTAACCCCTCCTGGGTCCGTCTTACTGCTCAGGTGTGTGTTTGAGGGTGACAACATGGAGGACAAAATGCTACTGACTTTGTAGTCGTCTTAGATATTTATCGCATAGACTCCTAAACCAGTGACATGTGAAATGAAAGCTTGGAGTCATTACTGTGGCTTTTACTTACACGTTCCATCTTCATCTGAATTTAGTCCAGAATATGTATTTGGGCCTAGAGATTGCTGTCTAGTGTGAAGACCTTTTCTGTTTTACTGGCTGTTCTACAAATCAATGAATGTAAAAATAGCTGGTTCATATCAAACATTTAAAAATGTGTTTTTTCTTTTACAGCCTTGGGACGGTAATTCTGTGTGTGAAAACCCCTGCTCCTTGATTCCCACACCGGACAAAGAAGAGGATGAGCCAGCATACCCAAGTTCCACGTGTGGACCGCAGAGTTTCATGCCCTCCAGAGCCTCACCACTGCCTATACTGAAGTAAGTTGCTTGCCGTGTGCCTTCCAGATCTTTTACTCCCTGTGCCCAATCTCACCAAGTTAGTGTGGACACATACTGACACCTACCTTTTGTCTTTCACTTGGTTTTGTTTCTTGTAGCTGGGCAAATAGAGATGAGGTCTGGAAAATTATGCTAAACAAGGAAAAGACATACTTAAGGGATAAGCACTTTATGCAGCGGCACCCTCTCCTGCAGCCTAAGATGCGAGCAATTCTTCTGGATTGGTTAATGGAGGTGAGCTTGAGTCTTCCAGCTGGCTGGAAGCATTTACCACTTCTAGAATCATCTGTGCTATTATGATCTCCTCCTGTGTTTGATCCCATTGACACATTCTGTGTCTCTGAAGCTGTGGTATATATATTGCTGTTTTGCTTGCATTCTTCCTTAGAAGAATTTCTGAAGTCTCTTTACCTCTTAGACATTTTTAAGTTGGCCTCTAATTTTTTTCTTCAAAGTTTAGATAATTACAAATTTTCCACATAACTGTAAATATTGATATTTGGTCTTTGTTAATTAAATTGCTTTTAAATCTATCCAGTAGAATGCAGATAACAGCTATTTGATAAGCCATTATCGTAAGTTTTCAAAATATATGAACAGGCTTGTCTTCAACAGTCAGAAAGCTTACATTGTTCCTTTTTAACTCCTTGGAATCCATTTCTCCTTCCCCACAGAATATCGTCCTAACAAAATATATTGTTCAAATCTTTTATTGGTCACACCGTCAGACTTCTCTGCAACAATTGATCAAAAGAACAAGTATTACAAATGGTGATGGGTAATTGTTAAACATAAAAAGCGATATTGTATGGGCAGTGCACCTCCCTCTGAGAGGAAGTGTGGGTGACTCTGTGGTGCCTCGATGAAGCGGCCCTTCCTGGACACGTGGAAGCCTTGGGTGATGAGAAGTAGGCTTTCTTTGTGGTGTCGAAGGAATCTCAGATCCATTTTATGAAAAAAGGACCTGGGGAAGCCAAGTGTCTAAATATTCCCTAAAAACAAACTCTGCTGTGTACTCTTTGGAAAGCCTATATTCCAGGGGTATGCGCCCCCCTATTATGCCCATCCTGGAATCAGATCCCCTGCTGCCACCTCACCATGTATGTGTCTTCGTCAGGCAAGTCATTGAACTTAGAATCTTGGTTTTTCTCATCTGCAGTATTTTCTAACAGTATTTTCCTTGCAGAGTTGGTATGGATTAGAAATAGTAGGCAAGAAAAGATAGCTGTTTTTACCATTATTAATTTGCTTTTCTTTATTGGTCTCTGAACACGTTAACATTTTCTGTACTGAGTTCTTTGGCAGGCCTGCCTGCTTAAAACTACAGGCCTTCCAGTTGCCCACTGCAGGCCCACTGTGGCACGTAGCCCTTCTGGGCTCTTTGAGACATTTTATAATTCCTCGAAACATTAGATGTGTAGTATACTTTACTCCCCCAGGCTTCAGCTCATAAGATGTGACAGAGAAGTTCTATTTTGTATAACGCAGGTGATGCCATATACTTTAAGGAAGGCTTCTCTCTGAAAGTAAATCAAAAAAGTCATGTAATACCATTAAAAGGATAGAAAAGAATGGCAATCTTTTTGTCTTCAGTGGAACAAAACTGCAGGCTTGTCTGCAGCAATGCTGTTTCTCAGCCCCGAGCCTAGCCAGGAAGTCTGCGTGCGTGTGGGAAAGGTGGTGCTCAGGCTGTGTGCCCAATTGTGAGCTGAGTGACATAGGTCTGAGAGTTTGTTCCTGCGGGGACAGAAGCTCTAGTTTCACTTCTAATCAGATCATAATTATATTACTTTATAAAAACTGACTTCAAATATACCTCAACCTGGACTTTAGAAATACTCTTTAGTGATTGATGGAATTTTCTCTCAATGTTCTGTTTGTTGTTTCTCCGGTGCCTTTTCTACTTTTTAGCCCCATGAATCGCACTCACACATGGGAAGGCCTGTGTAGGAATGGCAGTTTTATATGCATAATCGGACATTAGACGGTGGTGATGAGTTGAAGTCTACTGTTTCCTTGGTCCTCTTTGGCTCCCTCATGCACAACATTTTACCCGCTCTCTCAGCAATCCTGTGAGGTGGGCAGGGGAGGCATGGTCCTAATTTTAGTTTGAGATTATCGTTCACAGTTTTTCCATGAAAATGCTGCTTTAGCAGCCTATGCACATTTGCCCTTACTATTATATAGATCACGGAACACTTAATCCTTCTGAGTTCCAGCTTTGCACTGTGTTTGTGCTTAGGGGTAAGCCAGGTAACCATCCTTTCAGAAAAGCAAAGTTCTCTCTCTTGATTTGGTTATATTGTCCTTCACCAAAACATGAGTTTTGCCATGAGGCAAGTTGTTTTTTGTCTTTCTTTTTTCCTCAAGTAACTGTTCTAAAACTTACTAAATATTTTTTCAGGTGTGCGAAGTCTATAAACTTCACAGAGAGACATTTTACTTGGCACAGGATTTCTTTGATCGGTATATGGCAACACAACAAAATATTGTTAAAACACTTTTACAGCTTATTGGGATTTCATCTTTATTTATTGCTGCCAAACTTGAGGTAAATTATTTTTAAATATTTCTTATGTAGCACATGCTGTTTCTTGAGATCCCCTGAGATTACTGGAATAGGCCAACTGTTTGTCTACATTTTTCTAATTTGAGGTCACCTAAAGTAAAGATACATGCAGAAAGGGCTAGAAATCAACCAAGAAGTGAGAGAAGTAGAGAGTATATAAAATGCTTAGGTTAATATAGTTACTTTACGCCAAAAAATTGAACTTTGACCGAAGAGGATTAGAATTTTGATGTGATGAGAAGGGTGGATAGGCCCAACTTTCAAACATGTTGCTAAAGGTATTAAAAAGGTGAAAATTTCAAAAATATCCCCACTGAGTAAAAGCTGTATTTATGTTTTTATTTATTGGTAACGGTGGGTGTTTGGTTTCTTTCACAATGAATGCATTTTGACCAGTGGAGTAGCTCCTGTATTTATTCTATGATGTTCCCTCTCTTTCCATGCTAGCATACTAAAAGCAGTAATTTTGGATGTACATTGTAAGTTAAAACTATTAGAGAAATTTGCTAGTCATTTCTCCCTTTTATTTCCTTTTAGGAAATCTATCCTCCAAAGCTACACCAGTTTGCTTATGTTACAGATGGGGCTTGTTCAGGAGAGGAAATTCTTAGCATGGAATTAATTATTATGAAGGTAGGTTACAAGTTAATTTTTCAGTCCTTTTTTTTTAAATGCATACATAATATCTTTTCCACATTCAGTGTGAGTGCATCTGACTAGGTGTTCTCCAGCTGGACACATTGTGGCATGGAATGTGGCTGCATTTTGAACTCCTTTAGAGGCCCAAAGGGAGCAGAAGTGTGTTTTGTTTTGGTTTTTTTTCTCAGCCATTGGTTTGACCCTTCTCTCTGTTTTCCCTTAGGCCCTTAAGTGGCACTTAAGTCCCCTGACCATTGTGTCCTGGCTGAATGTATATATGCAGGTTGCATATCTAAATGACTTATATGAAGTGCTCCTGCCACAGTATCCCCAGCAAATCTTCATACAGATCGCAGAGGTGAGTGGCTCTGTTACCTCTGGGAGGGTCTACCTACCCCACCAGGAAACCGAGGAACTCTAGAAGGGATAGATGTTGGCCGCCTGCTTTAGTGTTCTTTTCTCCTCCACAGCTTTTAGATCTTTGTGTCCTGGATGTTGGCTGCTTAGAATTTCCCTATGGTGTACTTGCTGCTTCTGCCTTGTATCATTTCTCTTCCTCTGAATTGATGCAAAAGGTTTCAGGTACGTTGGCTTTCCGGTCCATTCACAAGGTGTATTAAACTTACAAACCGATGGAGCCTAAAATTTATTTTCATTGCAGGGTATCAGTGGTGTGATATAGAGAAGTGTGTCAAGTGGATGGTTCCATTTGCCATGGTTATAAGGGAGACTGGGAGCTCAAAACTTAAGCACTTCAGGGGAGTTCCTGCTGAAGATGCGCACAACATCCAGACCCACATAAACAGCTTGGATTTGCTGGTGAGTCATGTTCCTCATTTCCCAGATAAATTCCTAAAACTGCCTGAGTAGCCTCTTCACTCCTCTTTAGGCAGGCTCCCAATATCCTAGAAAGACTCCAATTCTTTTAATTCCTTTGAAAAAGAAAAATTGTGCTCAATAGATGCGATGTCTAAATAGCACGTAGACCAGCGACTTCAGATTGTTCTTTGCTGTTTCGTTGCCCTCACCTCCACAGAAAGGAGCACACAGGCCGCGAAGCCCAAAGGATGCATTCTTCCATTTTAACATTTCTCGCTTTTATTCCTACCAGGACAAAGCCCAAGCAAAGAAAGCCATATTGTCTGAACAAAATAGGATTTCTCCTCTCCCCACTGGGGTCCTCACTCCCCCACAGAGCAGTAAGAAGCAGAGCAGTGAGCAGGGGACCGCGTGACCACACCAGCATCCTCCACCAAAGACAGTTGTGCAGAAGTGCCCGCTCCAAGTTCCCTGCTGCATACTGGGGCGGAGGTGCGCATTAGCTTTTACAGATATTTCAATGGAAGAGCATGTCTCTTCTGCAACCGAAGTGTTTCTGTGGATGGCATTGGACAGGGACAAGTGTTTTTTATTGAATGCTTAGATTTTTTGAAATAAGTGGGTCAAGTACACCAGCCACCTCCAGAACACCAATGAGTGCTCCAGATGCTGCTAAGGAGGGTGATACTTGACTTGATTGACTGTTCACACACGGAACAAAGGCTTGAAGTTGCAGAGTGCCACGTTGCTGTGGGCTCCCCTCGGGTGTGCTGGGTTGTGTCGTATTGAGGGGAACAGGTGGTTGTGAGCATTGTGATGTTGGAGCCCACAACCAGCTGTGCTGGGGGCCTGCCCTTTTCACACTATCAGTTGACAATGTACAATGCCTTTTATGAACTGTTATTTTGTACGTGCTGCTATGTCTATCCGTTTTTTTAATAAAGGTAACACTGTCTTTGAGACAGCTCGTTTTATGAGCTACGTGTGATCATTTAAGTTAGAAGTCATCTTTGAGTGTGGCTGTATCGAGTTCTCTTTCTTTAACTTCATACTTCTTAAAGCTCACACCTTTCAGGCAAATATATTTGAAAGAAGTGAGCTTTAGGTACAGCCACCAGTGCCTCCCAAGGGCCACGTGAGGTGGGAATGAGGCTTCGATTTGGCATTTCTCCCCCTTTCTCCCAGGCCCGCACGGTGGCTGCGCAGGTGGGGCTCGCCGGCTGGCGGTGACAGTACTGGGGAGCGCGTGTCTGCATCCAAGAGGATTCTTAGGTATGATGTCTGCCCCACGACAGGCCAGAGGTCATAAAGCATCTGTAATAAGTGTTACTCAACACCCTTTTTGTCCTTACCCAAATCTTAACCTAAAGAACTTTTGTTGGGAGAACTTGTTAACATAATGTAGTAGCCTAAAACTATACTTGGAAGAAAAAGAAAATGTAAAATAAAATGATATGTAGCTCAAGGCCAGATGTCAGTGCACGGTCTGAACCTTGACCACTGATGGAGTCACCAAATGCCTTGCCCATGGAGGGAGTACCTGTCCACTTGGAGGCCTAATGTGTACAGTTCACGATGCGTTTTGTCGAGCATTCTCATCATGGTGGTCTTGTGTGTTGCACTTCCTTACAACGCTTTGGTTTATGTTATGGGTTCAGAAAAAGGGAGGGTGAATGAGCAAACAAACCCACTTATTTTCAACTTGGTATTTTATCTCATTTTGCAAAACCTGTCTGAAGTAGAAAAACAGCCATTTTAAAATCTGTATCATATTTATATGAAATCGGAGAGAGACCCTACTCCACATTGTGATGCTATAGTTCTGGCAAGTTTTAATATGGTGTTCCAAATAAATGCATTATAAATCTACATGTCCTGGTATTTAGTCAGATGGTACTCCGAGCTAATTATTTCCTCATCTCAGGCAGAGATGCTCCCACCTTAAAAAGCAGTGAATTTTTAATGGTGACCATTCGTAAGTGGCTTGTTGGAAAAATCCTATAAGTGGTTAATTTACATTTGGCATTTTCTATGCAAAAACATGGCACTGAAAACATTTCTATATTCAAAGCTTTGGATAAGTTTTAAGGCTTGACAGGGGAGGTGACACTGGTCTGAACACATGTTCGAGGCAGGTACTAACTACTTCATGGACCGTCTGGCCCACACATTGTCACAGAGCGCTACTGGGGCTGCTGAAATGAGAATGCCTTATAAGCAAATTTGAGTGTTGCATTTCTGGACATCAGGGTTTTGGTTTTGTTTTTATTAAATGGCAGTGTTGCCATGGGTAGCTCTGAATCATCTGTGCTAATAAAGGATGCGTCCTGAGTGGATAAGTGAAATCCACAGGAATCAATATTTTCTGTGGCTCTGCCAGAAACCCTAAGAGCCACTAGTAAGTACCATCAAGTTTCCCTGCTTTAAGGAGCTCCTCCTTTTGCTAGTAGTCAGCACAAACTTTGGTCCCTCACTGGTTGGCTCTGCATACCCATTTGCCAAATCATTTTTGTTCTGCCGTTCAGCTAAAACCGGCTGAGGCCGGGGGGATGCCAAACAGACATGGGGGTGAAAATGGCAGTTCTGGTCAACCTGGATGAGCAAACGCTCTGAGGCAGATGTGGTGAGCAGGGGGACCCAGAGAAGGAGGTGACGTGGCCTCTTAGTCTGACTTCCTTGTGTTAGAGGAGCATCTAAGAGTAACTTATTGACCAACCACGAGGGCTGATTGGATTGTGGTAGAGCAAACCACATCCTCATGTCACGCCCCAGCTCACAGTTCAGTCACCAGACCTCCCCAGAGTTGCTCTGGTTGTCCCTGTCCTCTGTGCCGTAGAAAGAAAACACTGGTCTTCAGGTAGTTGGTGTGGAAGTCCTTCCAATGCCATCTTCCCTGTGTGGACCTCGGACAACTCATTGCTGCGTGGATTTCACACCAAGTGGATAAATGATGCTAAGGTTCACGTGGACTCTAAGTTCCTAAAGGCTGATAAGTAAAGCCGTTGAGCCCTTGAAGATTTGGAGCACAGACAGTGCAAGATAGACTCAGACACAAACGAGATTGGAGTTTATTCGGGCGAAATTAGGCTCTAGCTCAGAGCAGGGTTGGCAAGAGAAATCAAATCTGATAATGTCTAGTCATATTTACCCAACCGTGCATTTTCCTACCGCATGTTCAACATTTTGAAATTCAAATCACATTTATACCTTGGACATTGTTAGAAGACTATTTTTATCCCTGCTGTAATCATCTAATTTGCTGATTACAGGTCTCAAATTGCCACAGAGAACTCAATTTTTGAAAGAATTGTCCTGTTTGATCAAATATGTTATTCAAGCAATGCAACCATTTGTTCCACAAGGTTACCTGCCAGGCAGAGCTAACCAGGAGTAATAGCATTAGAAGCCTGTACTTAAAACCAAGCATTAGCTAATCTGCCTGCGACAATAGAGTCTTAAATATAATTTGCTGCAGATACTTCAGTTCCTGCACCAACAGACAATTGCATTTTGTATTCAATGAGCATAGATTTTTTCCTACCTCATCCCAATTCCAGATATAGCTCCCAAAGACTCTAACGTGCTCAGCTTCACAGGCTTACCAAGTACTATTTCCCAGGAGGTTCAGACGGGAGGGCAGCGCTGTCCTGCATGGAATAAGGACTCCCTCTGCCCCCCACCCCCCACCTACCCTTTCAATCATTTTTCCCGACCAATGTCAATTCCAAAAATTGTGTAGCAGCTGACTGCAGTGATTTCTGGTCTGATGCTGGCTTCCCCGGTGTGGTGCGCGGGGTGCTCTCTGTCGCGAGCCCCTGAGCCCTGCTGTGCACCACCAGGACTTGAGACCAAAGCACGTGGGATGCGATCCTAGAGCTCAGGTGAGCGGGTCTGGAACCCTGGGAGTGTGGGGGCCTGGGAAGGGCCTGGAGCAGTGCTGCCACGCCTGTTTGGGAGGGCCCGCCCCCCCAGGTGATGAAGAGCGGTCAGGGTCACGAGTCAGCGGAGGAAGCAGGAGATAATGCAGCGGAGGTGACAGAGGCCACGTCACAATGGGCTTTTACGAGTCAGGCTCGTATGTCCCCATGGCCCTGGCAGCAGGGAGCTGGTGTTTGTGAAGGGGACAATGATGGGCTCAGAGCTACATCTGGAGGCAGAAGTTGAAGAAATAAGCCCTGAGCTCTGCCTCTCAGGGTCCCGGGAAAAGGACTGTGTGCTCCATGCACCAGTGATTTCTAAATGGCCCTGCCTCAGTGACTGCCCCCCATCTCCTTTCAGGCCACAGCGACTTCTACACCCGCACCCCTGCCCATCAGCCCATCCACAGTCAGCTAGACCCTCACCTCCTGCCAGAGAGCACCCCTGTCTGTCCCACACCGATGTCCCCAGTACCTCCTGTCTGAAGGGAGCCTCCACCGGCACATCTCCTCACCCCAACGTGCGCACTTTGCCATCTTCTAGGGAAACTGCTTCCTTCACTTCCCGTTGTTAATACTCTTAGGAAAAATGGGCACTGGCGATACACAATACTCATAGGAAAGCCACTCAATTCACAAGTCATCAGCGAGATCAGTTCACACGCATCCCACAGGCAAACATGTTCAAGTGCAGAAAGGAATATGATGACTTACCTGGAGACCCATCCCCAGTTTCACATTTTTTTAAAGGAATACAACATTAAAGATGCCACTGAAGGGCCCCCTGGTCTCCCTCCCCCCATCCCATCGTCTTTCTTTCCTGCTCAGAGTTAACAATCACCCTGAGGTCAGTGTGGATGATTCCCACACATATTTTTAGACTTTTATCATTTACATTTGGCTCCATAAGCAATAGACTTACAGAAACATTACTCTGGGTGTCCTAAAAATCCACACCAGTGGCATCGAACCTTACCTATAATAATACCACTTCCTATTCTCTTTCAACCTTATTTTCAAGATTTACCCACATGGATGCGTGGAGGGTTGGATTTATTTATTTTTAACTGTGATAGAGTTTTCTCTTGTGTGACTATCCCACAACGTATACAGTCCCTCCCAGGCTGGCCCATGAGCAGGTCAGCAATGCCATCACCATCACCGACGACGCTGCAATGAGCATCTTGCACACACGTGGCACACGTGTGGGGGTTCCTCCGGGGCACATTCCCAGACCTGGAGCCGCCGTGTCAAAGGGCGTGTGCCCCTGCAACTTTATGAGATGTGGTCAGCTAATTCCCCAAATTATGCCGATCGATCCTCCCAGCCAGGGAGTGTGAGCGAGCCTGTCTTCCCACGGCTGCTCCAGCACTTGCTACAGCCATCTTTTCTTCCCGTGAAAATTGCTATTATTTAACTTCCTTGGTTTTTCTCTGATTATGGAAGCAGAACAAGTGTGATATGATAAATTAGACTTCTGCGGACATGTACAACAGAGAAAGTGAAAATCCCGCAGAGGTGCCATCCTTACCAGTTCTGGTGTTAGTGTGGCTAACAGAACCTTTTCTATGCATACACGAACATACGAATACACAAAACATTTGCTGGTTTTTGTACAGGGCTATTTCATCCAATTATCTCTCTTAAGTCATTTAAAACGGACATACCCATGCAAACTCACCCCCTCTCGTTTTTCTTTATCAGTGATCGCTTGCCAATTGATTTCGTTGCTTAGCACATCATTTCAGGGCCTGGCACATGATAGGCGCTTATTAAATATTCACTCCCTGAATGAACAGGGAAATGGATTGATTCTTACATGTGTAGTCACTTTCATTAAATTTCGTACTCTTCCATGCCCAGAAGAATACACGCTATCTTCCACTTGCAAAAGACCACATTCCGGCTGAAAAGCAAGACCTGAACAGAAATGAATCAGACTTCTGCTGTTCTAGTGTTTCTTCTGGGCAAAGGAGCCACACACCGTTGAATTCCAGTTCCTGGAGGGGTCACAAGGGTGGAATGACATACAAAAGCTCCAGTGCATCAT